AATGCCTACAAATGGAGTTAATATGCATTGCCACCCCCTCCCTCCCCCCTTATTTCTATTGCCAACCTTCAGTTGCTCATTAATTAGCCAGGAGTTGTCTTCCAGCTTTATAACTTTCAAAGTTCCTTTTAAATTTTTCTACCCTCCAGTTGGAAAATATTCTGTAGAAAGAAATTCAAGAAGGGAGGGGAAAAGGGCAGCAAAGTGGTAAATGCATATAAAGCACAAATTCTTGAAATGTGTAAGGCTTACATACTTGGTTTATCTTCAACACCTATAATACCCATCTGTTTTAAAACAAGCAACTGCAAGATTTTCCGATGAAAGTGTGATTTTCACGTTTGCACTCTCTCTCTCAGTAGGTATAATGTCTCCTATGGTTACGCCGTGCACTAAAGAGGACGGGAAAGCTGTCATTTCCTCAAGGCTGTCAGTTCCCCGCACTCCCGGTGACACAGGACAGGGGAGGGTACCCAGAGTTTACCAGCCAGATGCTCGGTGGGGCAAGGCAGACTTGACCTATTCCTGGCAGTAGGAGCTTCATGAAGTTTTCCCTGCATTTGGGCTACCGCCAAAGGGCCACACGCACTATTTATGCGCTAGTTTGCCCACGGTAAGTTGCTCATTTGGGTCGGCACTGCAGACCTTTCGGGTGAACCCAGGGAACCCTTAATCTGCAAAAACAGAACAAGAGGTTGAGGAAGCCAAGATTTTCTTTCTGAAGGTTGGGACGCTTGGGACTTCAAAACCTAAGAGCGTTTTCACTTTGTACTGCAAATGTGGAAGAGTTTAGTGTAACATAGTAAGTTCTTTCAGCACTGCTTGGTAATGTTACTCTAAATAGCCTGCAACCTGACTGGTCGGAGCGGAGAGTTATTCCTTCCAGGTGCACGCCTGTATAAAAACCTCTGGAGCATGCATCCACCCACAGGAAACTTCCAGCGCCCGCTGTCACAGCAGGTACCCACGCAGCTGTCCAGCTAACCTCGCGCTCCGCGAACTAACAACGGAAATGCGTTTGTCTGAATTCTTGTATTTCAGGTCAGCCACGTTAGCCAGCTAAATCCCGCTTACCTAACCCCTATTACTTTGCGAGGAGTGACTGTCACTGCCAGTTCTCAGTATTTGGATGCATTTACCTTGTGGTTTAATATAGTGATGTTCCTAGCACTGACATTTCCTTTGTTTCCTAGCATTTGTATTCATCTCTTTATATATAATACTGTATTTAGTGCATGAGAGCGTGAGAAAACCGCATGAGCTGTGTGAAACACAGATGTTTGCGTACGGCACGAGCGTACGGCTAAGCCCTACCTCGCAAAGAACACACTGCGATTGCGTTTCCCACGTGAGCACACGGAGCTGGCTTTTCCCCAAATAATCCAGGCTAAACCAGACTGTGCTGTGTAACTTTGCGCAGAGGTGAGAGAAACACATTTTGGCAGAGTTAGTGTTTACAGCTGAGGACCCAGTCACACAGTACTGCTCAGTAACCTCCTTTTATTTTAATTTTTCGCCACGTAGCTAGATTTGAAAAGCTCCTTCCAAGCAGTGGATTTGGGAAGTTAAGAGGCATAAAGTTTATTCTTACAGGTGATAAATGGTCACCTTAAGGTTTATCATCTTATAATTTGTCCTTCGGTGTTCAATTGCCTTGTTAATTTTATGTGGCACTGTCAAATAGATATAATTTTGTGAATTATTCTTTCTTCCTTAGGTTCTGAAGAAATCCAATGTGATTTTGTAAGTTGTTTTGTTCACAACAGTTTAAGACTATTAATGAAGTCAATACGGGTTTAAAAACTTTGGAAAGCACAGAATTTTATGATGATTTCCCTTCAGGATCATTTTGCAAAGAAATCAGCTGCTAACATTCAGAAAGAGCCAACATTTTATAAGGGAACAGATTTTGGTTGGTATATCTCAAAGTATTTTAATATAATAATATTGCATTCTCAGTGAAATATGTATTAGAAAAGTGTCAAAATAGTAAGAAATGGCAGTATTTACAATTCTAGAAGCAATCTGACCCTATTACACATATTACATAGGGTATGTAATAATGCAAGCATCACCTACTGCTTACTCAATATTCACTTTTGTCTGTAGTCTTCAGGTAGAGTTTGTCATTTAAAATGATAAAGCTGTGTATCATTAAGGCCAAGATGCTAATAGACTTGAATTCTTGAAATTGTAAGACTAAGTTTATCCTGTAATTTGCAGCTAAAAAAAAGCCTTACTTTTTCTTCAGTTTATGAAATATATAATTAATAGTTATGGCAGTAGGCTATATAAAGAAAAAACCAAAACAAAAACCCCCAAACCAACACCACCTTTCTATTTTGCAAAAGCTACACCTATGAAAAGATATTATTATAGCATCTACAAGTCCCAGACATAAGCCAGAGCCCAGTGTGTTAGGTGACATACAAATGCAAAATGCGTAATCTTTATCCCCCCCCCAATTTATCATCACAGAACTCAGGCAGCTGATGGACTTAAGGACCGCACCAGTCTCACCACAGTACCAGTGTAACCACTGGGCATCTTCTAGACATCCTGATCATTTTAAGAAGGGATTTAATAAAAACAACAAAGCATCTTTGTAAATATTTAAGTAGACTCCTCTTTTAGAGGAACTCGAAGGACAAAGCGCAAGAAAGCATAGCAATTTTTATTTTGAAAATTTAATATGTCTAATTTCATTTAAAATTCAGTCTGTACTGAATGAGTGATAATAGGGTGTATGTATATGCATATATCATGATCAGAGATGCAATTGGATTTACTGCAAGTACTTAACAGTGGATCAACAAATAGATACTAAGATTGTTTCCCAGCTCTTTTGTGGTATGCACTGCTTTTCACAGCCAACTGAAATTTTGGCCTGTTCCAGTAAGAACTTATCTAAGCAAAGAAAAAAATACAGAAGGATCACTCTCTACCCAAACGGACAAGTTAAACAGTTTACTTGTTAAACAAGGTTTTCTGGTTTTTTACATATAAGGGTACTGGGCAATGCAAAGTTTCCCCCTGGTTTGTAATTTCAGGATTGGCCTTTCACTTAAATAGTATAGGTTTCATGCTACAAGAGCCTTACCAAATGAAAAAAAAACAACAAAATAAAATCCAAACCAAACCCAAACTTTGAAAATGTAGCACTTTGCATGTTCAAACATGGAATGTTCAGAAGACTGGGTCTTCAGCTAGGTGTTTTCTGGCTGTAGCCATCACCAGTTCTGACACTCTTCTCTTTTCATTACACACCTTGCCAATTAAACAAGTCTTACGACATTTTTCCCAGAGATTTCCTAAAATATTAAAACACAACTAGATTATACTCTAGCTCAAGATATGAAAAAGAGGCATTGCCGAAAACTGGTAATATACTTTTGATTACATGAGACTGCAAAGAAACCATTGCTGTTTTAAGGAGGCACACTTTCACATGTGAAACGTGAACATGGATGCATTTGCTCATATATCAGGTAATGCTGTAACTGCAGCATTATCTTCAGTCTCTTACCTACCATCATACCTCAAATTATACACAAAAGGTGCACAGCCAGAACTTGTTACTAGCTAGATGGAGGCCCTCTGAGGAAAAGAAAAATAAAAAAAAATTTGCAGAAATCAATTTACTTTAAAGCACTCTTTGCTGAAACAGTACAAAATCACTGCCACGACTGAACAAGTGTAGTGCTAGAGGAGTTAGGACACAAATCCTGTCCTTTTGAATAAACAGAGTAGCAATAAGAAATGTATCAGGTATCAGTAAAACTGCAATGGTGTCAGTATCATGTGTGCAAATAAACCACCCCCACAAGTCAGCAGTCACTCTGCTCCTTAAAAAACTACCTGCAGGCATTGCTGAACCTCCCGGCCACTGCCAAACCTCTCCCCCTTCTGGCCAGGATATCTAGAACAGCTGCCTGCAGTATGCTGCAACCCAAATCACACACCACATCGTCTGCAGCGCGTGCAGCTGGAGAGAGCCAACACATACACATTCTCACAAGTGAACAGAAAAAGGCCAATTATGGATAAAAACGTGGCAAACTCCAAACATCGTGATACGTGGGAAGGGTGAATTTGTACAGCCTCTGGCCAGAGCAAGTTATGAACGATTTTTTTTTCCCCTCTTTATACATGTATACGTAAGTTTGTGTGTATATACACATAGCACCCATGTATATGTGTATCTGTGTGTATCACTGAAGAATCTAGTGAAACGAAAAGTTTCACTGGCATAGTTCTCCCCAGGCAAATTTAATCTGGTCCCACGCCTGCTCTTACTGCTTGTTAGGTGGCATCAAGCAACTCCTTCTGACGTTGGGTGCTGGCTGCCCTGTACGCTGCAGACAGAGTCATTTGCAACACCGTTCTCCAAACCAGCTCACTGATCCAAACTGCTCACTGCAATTACTTTCTGACCGCAATCTGCATACTCTGCAGTTCTCTACATTTCAGGGTAATTCAATGAGCTGTTCTGCAGGAAAAGGCAAGGAAGAGAAGGCGACTGTATAGAAGGAGACAAAATCAAGAGCACTGGCTGCAGCAAAATTAACCACTTTTATTGCAGGATTCAAGTCCCAAGTTTTTTGAGAAATGGAGACAGTTCATCTTTCTCAGCTGTTGCTACAACTGATTGGAGTACCATGCAAGTAGATGACCTTTCATACTGATCAGTAGCATCCATTTAGTGACATAATGCTAAGATTTTGCATACATGACAAAATACACATGATAAAATAATATAAACATGATAAAATAAAACCTCCGATAGTATTACTGCATTACCAGAAAGTGCTCACTGCAGTTTCCAGTGGAGTGGGAATGTCACCTCTCATCGTGGCTTCCCATCCCTTCAATGTGTCATTGAAAAACCCAAAACCACCGCCCACCCAAACTACTCAGTCTTCTTCCAATCATATCTCATACAAAGAGAGCACCCTCAAGCTTTTTCATTATTTTCCCTCTTCCATTTCAGCTCTTTTGCCATGATCTCTGCACAGCAGCCACCACTCCCCAGCAAAATTCAAAGAGTAATGGACTGCCAAACTGAGGAAGAAGAAACCTGTGAAGACCAGTCTGACACTGAAAACTGCCTCTGCAGCTCCAAGCGTGCATCATCAACAGCAGAATCTAACTCAGGTTTAATCCAATTTAATACTGCGATTGCCACAGCATGCTACCATTTCATACTTTCACTTTTCTCGGTCTTCAAGTAGTAGATGTTACTGTGCCACTTTTCCTTTTGATCTCTATTTTCTCCCCACCATTTCATCTTATATTTGTATTTATTACCAGATCAACTCTACAGAAAGGGCTATCTCCATAATTAAGATGTATGTTCAAAAAGGTCTCTGGATTTTATTTAGACATACTTCTCAATTACACTCAGAGATGTAATACGCATTAATTGGGCTGGCACTGTTGAAGCTGTTGTGTGACAAATTTCAACAGGCCTAACTGCTCAAACACCTACCAAGGACTTCAGACAGGCCTCAATTAAAATCCATGCAAGCCAGAGCAAATTTTTTCTTTGCAGTTAAAACATAACTTTATCTGTGCATATCCTGCTAACAGGCCTCCAACAACAGCACAGTCATTCAGAACAGCGTCCTTGTTTTCAGTGAGATCAGATGGAGCAGTTCAGCAGAGCTCTTCTGAAAAATCTCACCTACAAGCCTACCGGCTGTGACGAGACATGCTAGCACAACTGTAGCACTGACACTCGCTGAACAGCACCATACGTGTCAACATAAAGAGTTCTTACACCCTCCTTTTGCGGGAGCATGGTTTAAAAAAAGTAACCACTAAAAAAAACCCGCTAGGTTTTCTTCAACGTAAAAGGTAAATCCTAAATCCTTCTTTTGTAAAAAGAAGTTAAATGTTCTAGATCTGCTGGCCCCACAAATGAAAACTACAGCACAAACCCCCACATGGCATACTCTGGCACAGCATGAATTACGGCGTACCCCAAAATACAAGCTGACTTGGTCCTGAAAGTCTTCTAGCTGTTATTAGCAGAGTTTTACATTCGAATTAGTAGATTTTCCTAAAAGGCTCGTCTCTATCTGTAAATTGCTCCCGCAAGAACTCAGAACAGCAGAAAATGACCACTGCTCCTTTCTCCACCTGGCCAGCCAGACCATCCGCCTCTGGACAGCGACCAGTCTTGAGGCCAATGGCCAGACAGCTTTTCCAGTCCGCATGCCTACGGACTATTTTCACAACATACTTTTTAACTTTTAACAAGTTGCCTATAAACACCTGCATATAAAAATACAAATTGTGTCTTTTATCTCACAGATTCACCAGAAATTCTTAAAATACTACAGAATTGGGTCCCTAGAGTTTCCCCCTACTTTGATAAAGAGCACTACACGTACGTAGGCCACCAGATTGTCATTCAGGAGTCCATAGAACACTTCGGAGCCGTGGTGTGGCCGGGGGTAAGTGACATGGCACCCAGAAAGCTGACACGACAGAAGAGTAAGCCATGACAGCGGCACAGAAATATTAAGGAAGCTTTCTTACATGACAGTTCTGACAGGGGAGGTTTCCTTCCCTGTGCAGAACAAAGTTGTGAAGTACTTCAGCAGAAAGCTCTGCCTTACACTAATTTGCCAGTTCACACCAAAAAACCTGTGGCACAAGTATTTCTAAATTGGATGCAGAAATTGAAAAAAAAATTAAGAAAGGGAACTCGGGAAGAAGTGTTCAGCTTCTTCCATGTTGCCAGTCAGTCACTGTTGGGAAGCAAACGCTCAGCAGTACCAAAAAGAGGATTGAAAAAGAAAATTGTGAGAGATGAAGTAAAGGAGTTTAAAACAATTAAATATGCTCCTTTTAAAGAATGGGCTGGAACAGTTCCATTGCAGTATGGAAAATCATACTTGCAAACAGTTTTTCCATCTTTCCTTCCCTTGCTTTTAGAAACAGTGTGGACTGAGAAAACTGCCTTTGAGGGAAGACAGGGTCAACTGATAAAGACATGAAAATTAGGATTTCAAAATTTTTCAGATCCACATTTATTGAAAAAGCTCACAGAAAGTGGCAGACAATTTCAAAACAATAGAGAAAAAGAGAGCGTATAGGTGGGTGAAGCAGTGTCTTATTTTGAAGTGTCAGATCATCAGTTCTCACATTAATCAGGTGTCAGAATGCAGATGGTAAAACTTTCCAAGAAAATCGAGAGGTTGAACGAATTGGACTGGTGATTCATTAGCTGTCAGCTTTCCCACAGCAGGTAGCCAGCATTGCATTATGAAAAGCACAAGAGTTAAAACAGTAACACAACTCTAAAGAGAAGCAAAAGGAGAAGTTAGGTTCTTTGGCATTGGTTTATGTTGTTTATAAACAGCCAATTTATGTTCTATTGATAAGATCTTTATAAAGGTCTGAGAAGCAATACTTACAGTGTAGATTTTTTTTAATTTTTTTAAAAAGTGTATACTATTATCAATAGACAAGTGTTGAGTTGGTAGAAAACAAATGTTTAATTTTTTTTTTTGCAAAGGAAATAAACCAAACAAAAATCAGTTTTAAAAAAAATCTCTGCTGAAGCCTGAATCTACTTTATGATAGTGATACTAAATTGTAACATTTGTTATCATAAACCAGAACATTACATTTTACACACTGTTAAACCTTGTTTGCTGTTCTGACTGTATGGTTCACATCTAAACACTGCCTATCTTGAGCTGTCAGAGGACTCTCAGTGCCCAGAAGTGTGTAGTAAAACCATAAACCTAAAACTAAAAATAAGCTTTTTTTTTAATATATAAAAAACAGGACACATGATAATTCTTTCCATATTACATTTTTATGTTACAGCCTTCAGTATTTTTCATTGTATAAACCACTCCCCTCCCCCCACCCCTCCCCATATAAAAACATCTAATGAATTCTTGTGCAACTTACCTGTTACCCTCTTATGGATATGTGTTAACTGTTTTAGGCACTGGCTTTATCTCAATATCTGGAATCAAATCAAGAACAATTCAACCTCAAAGACAAGAAAGTTTTGGAAATTGGTGCTGGAACAGGCTTGGTTTCCATTGTGGCCTGTATCTTAGGTTAGTAAATTCATATTTCCTTTTAAATTTCTTGTGAAAGATGATCTAGATCTGCCATTGTCACTTTAAGGCAATGAAGCAACAGCTGAAGTAAACTTTGTTTGTCACTGCTTTTTTTAAAAAATGACAATTGTTGTAAAATACCATTTTGTTACTAAAGTAACTACCCTAGTTATTGGTGAGGGGGAAGCTGGGGAAGTTATGTAGATAAAGTTTTATATATAAATGTTCAACTACATACCTATGAATTGAAACAAATTAATGTTTTCTTTAGGAGCTTATGTTACAGCTACTGATTTGCCTGAAGTTCTTGAAAATCTCTCATACAATATTTCAAGAAATACACAGAACATGAATATGCACAAACCTGAAGTGAGAAAACTGGTATGGGGAGAAGACCTCAATGAAGACTTCCCTGTATCAACTTACCATTATGATTTCATACTGGCAACTGATGTTGTATACCATCATACAGCTTTGGACCCCCTGCTAGCAACAATGGTGTATTTTTGTAAGCCAGGAACAGTATTGCTATGGGCAAACAAATTCAGATTCAGTACAGACTATGAATTTTTGGAAAAAATTCGCAACATATTTAACACAACAATTCTAGCAGAATTTCCAGAATCAAATGTCAAGCTGCTTAAAGCCACAGCAAGAGAGAATTAAAGAGAAAACGATTACTAATTGTGATTTAATGGCAGCACCTTACAGTTTGGAATGTTTTGCAGCATTACAGTGCACATTCTGTGCATTTGTGTTTGCAAAGTTGCAGTTGTATCTGAGTTTTGCACTACAAGTTACGAAAAAACTGGTAAGACAAATGATACAGCAATTTGTCTCTGGCTGATGCATATGACCTGTTCAAACAGACCAACTTCTCTCCACTGAAGGAACAATGCTAGTAGCAATAGTTAGTAAAAAGGCTTTAGCAGAAAGCATTGATCTTCTGGGCTGCACTGAACTTGTGTTGTTTGTAGGGTGTTCTCTTTCATCAAGTTTCATTTATATACTCTTTTAGAAACCAATACAATTTTCAGCTTCATTATTTGTTTTTATTAATTATAAAATAATCTTTTAAAGTATCAGAGCGCACATGGTGTTTTTTTGATCTTCAACTTTGCACATTTATTCTGCTGTGTTTTACATTTTTAACATTATTAAACATATATGTATAGCTTTACAATACCTGATCAAGATTTAACTGTCTGGCACTTTTATACATGTATCAATCTGTCCTGATACTCAACTTCACATGGATTTTTGAGTTTGCCTGAAATCACTCCAAAACAAAGATTTACAAGAGCACCTATGCATCAGCAATTCTGAGTTACACATTGTAACAGTTTGAGAGGTTGAATTTTTCTTAAAAAAATTAAATGTAAACTCTTGCAAAACAATACAGGTAATGAAGTTCTGTTACTTTAGTCTAATAAATAAGATTTTAGCTACTCTTGAAGTAGCTTTAAGGCCTTCATACAATTGAAATGAAGATAAAACATGTTAAAATTCAGTTTACTGTAAAAAATACAGAGCTTTTACAGGTTTGCAGTTAAAAATAACAGTTAAGAACCTAACATGCATGCAGTAAGCCTCTCCAGCCTAATTCCAAATCCTTGGTGTTGGCAGTTCTGGCACATCCATTGCCAGCAATGGGATGCACAATAAGGAAACTCTCCAATGACAGGAGTTTGGTTAACAGGTATTAAGCTGTACCCAGGTGCCTTTACTGATAAATACACACAATTTAATAATCAGCATTCAGTAATGAAAACATGCGTTCCAATAAAAAGTCAAACTTATCTTTTCCTATCCTGCCCCATAAAAAAAAAATCATTTGAAGTTTACAATTGTTGGTTTTCTAGAATACACAATAATCAGGTGGATACATGACAGGAAGCCAATTTTCAGTAAAAGTTGCACAATGAGTCCATCCAAGCAACTTCATTAGCTGAAGAAAAAAAATGCAAACATTAAAAGAGTCTTATTCTTTTTTAAATCTAAATCCTTCCAACAAACACTGCATCGATATCAACATCTTACTAAAGATGTCTATTATCAGAAAGATAACAGATTGGAGAACTGGTGATCTTTGAATTACTTAGTCCTGAAAGGGGAAAAAGAAAACCATTCTACATGATCTACAGTCTTTCAATTCAACGCGCAAAAATTTTGTCCTAGGAGTTGCAGTAATTCCCACTAATTCTCCATCTATATTCTACTAGCAATATTTGTGATTAGTAATAGTAACGGTAACAGTAGTTAAACAGCAACATAATGGGATTTGAAATACGCAGATGATCTTTGGCTGAGTTACGCCCCAGAGTAAGTTCCGGAAAGTAAATCTGCTAAATATGACAGTGACTCACAAACTAGCTATTTTACAAAAAGAAAGAAGTCACTATTCAAAATGGAGGCCAAGCCACACAAAAGCCTGGATAAAGTTAAAAAGCTTAAGCTTAGTGAGTTCTATAATGTATAAGGTTTCAAAAATTCACAAAGACTTACATCTTTCTTTTAAAAGCTTACTCAGAGAGAACATAGCCCATTACTTTACCAAATACACCTTACCTGAATGCAGTTTTTCAAGTTGTCTTTTGTTGGCTTCTCTTCTGCAAGTTTTGTGGCAAACTTGAGGCCTCTCCCATACATTTTATTTACCAATGCGTGCTTATAGGCAAAAGTCAAAACCTACAATGTGAAAACAAAACCAAATTAGGTATTTTAATATTTTAATCTCACATGGCTTAGTAAATAATAGCAGATTCTACTCAGGTAGCAGAAGTGATTTAAACAAAGTAAACCATTTACACAAGATAACTTGCATTTTTCTTTGCAGTACAACAGAAGATTCACAGTAGTAGTAATAAACATGAACTTCCTAGAGGCTATTTCTAACTTCATGAACACATTTGACTTCAGAACATCTTATGTAACACAGATGTCATTATGCTAATTTTTTTACTCATCAGATTTCTAGCTTCTTTGGATTTTCATTCTCTAGAGGCAACTGTATGGTATAAAAAACAAATTAAAAAAATAAATCAAGAACCACGCAGGTATATCTTTGACCCACAGGAACAAAGATTCAATTGAGAGTTTTGACTTCTAGGAAGTCACACACTTGCTGCAGAAACAAGTATGAACATACGTATTGAATGATATATAGATAGATATATACACGCACACACACACAGAGAAATGCACATAATTATAAACGAGCAATGAAGACAGGTAAGCATGAAGACAAGCCTCAGATTTTGGGTCAGCTCCTCACTATTGGCCATTTATTAATAAGAGATTACAAAAAAGCTTCCTCTTGATAATACTAATTCTAAAGAGACACCTGACAATACTTGTCAATGTTGTAACTAACGTGCACATTCAAGGCCAAGCTGGATGGGGCTTTGGGCAACCTGGTCCAGTGGAGGCTGTCCCTGACCACGGCAGGGGAGTTGGAATTAGATGATTCTTAAGGTCCCTTCCAACCCAAAGCATTCTGTGATTCTATGAAATGAATGTGTCTTCTTAAGAACTAATGTAAAATAAATCAGGTTCTTAACACCCAAACACTGACAGCATTCAGGGTGTTGCAAGATAGTTCATACCATTTCACCAGTTAAAGCACTTAGTGCAATCAAGATGTCATTTCATAGATTCCCTTTAGAACACTCATAGTAAATAACTTTTTTTTTATTTTTTATGGAAGAGTGACATAGCAAAGTTAGTGAATACAGTGGTGTTTCTGTTGTTGGCAAAGTGTATAAAATCTCATATTTGAGTTTGCTTTTCATTTCCCCTCATTCATTACAATATTTTTCCTTTCCTCTGACTCCTCCAACAAAAGTTACATTTTCCCCAATGTCCGCTTAAAATATCCCATTAAGAACAGCTAACAAAAACACTTCAAGGATGTTCAGAAATAAATATTTTGCATTACAGCAAAAAAATTTAAAATATTTCTTAAGAACATAAACGTTAAGGAATCAGAGATCTCAATCCTGCAAGGACTTAAAAACCTGCCTAATTTTAGCAGCTTGAACACTTCCATTGGATGTTAATCTCACACACAAGTCTTTGTGGGATCAATACTTAAAACATTGAGCTAAAAAAAAAAAAAAAAAAAAAGAACAAGCTTAATTATCAAGGAAGTAAAGGTGTAATTTTGAAGCTCTAAAGTATATGCCAAGCACTCAGAGTTGCTCATTCTTCTTCTGTCTTCAAGTATTTATTTTGTTGTGTTGAAGTACTCACTTAAGCTGTTGCAGCTTAACACACACACATATGCAACAATGAGCATACAGCACCATTCACATATAGATTTTCCAAGTATTGCTATTGGAAAAATACTTTGCATGCTGCATTCTCAATCCAATTATTTTGGATATTTTCCTAAAGCAAAACACATTAGCAAACACTGCTGAATAACTGCCCAGTGGATCCATTAGCAGATTTAGTTGGTTAAACTAAATTTAAAAAACAAAAAAATTCCGTTCTGTAAAAGATGATAGAACCACAAAACAAAACCAAAACAAAACAAAAATCAAATTAAAAATGCATTGGCGCTCTCAGCAAACATATTGGAGGCTAACCAGAAATAATGTCACTGCTCTATTAAGAAAGTTCTTACCTGACCCTGTAAGTTTTGAATGGTTATTGAACATCAGTGATAAAGGCAGGAGGAAAGCCACTTGACAGCATTTCTTTCGTAACAGGGCTTCCTAGAGTTTTTGTGGCAAGAAAACAAAGCATTTTACGAAACACCCTTGCTCTGGCCAAATAAAAGTTTGGGTATTTCTAAATGAGAAAAAAAGTTCTCTGCTGGACCGAAAGGTTGAAAACAATGCTCCAAGAGCTCTTGATAAAAGACAATAATTTCTTAGTGCTTTGAAAAAAAACCCCAATCAACTGTACACAAGTAAAACTACTAAAAGTTCATTAGCACTTCAGAAGTTAAGAATAATGCATGAGATGCTTTAAAATCAGAACAGGTTTACAAACAAAAATGTTAGATAAGAAATAATACTTTGTAATAACTTGTACACATATTGGTCAAATTAAGTCTTATAATAAAATATTGCAAGCTTTACAAGATTACAGATGTGAAGATGATGATTCCTTGATATGTGTAAATAAAATGTAAACTGGAGTGCTATTAAGATGTAACAGAAAACGGCTGCTATCTGAACATATAACAACAGCAAATAGACTAATTGCCAAAAGGCAATGTGTACTTCTAGGATACTGGGGGAAGAAATCATTTTTAGATACTTTATTCCCCAAGCTAATGGCTTGTGATACTAAGTGTGCTAAGACCCAGACCCATGGAAGTGGTTGGGTGTCCCTCTCCTAATTAGCTGCCTAACTTGCCATTGGCTACATAAAGATGCATATTTAGGATAATAAAACGCTGAAACAATCTCTCCAAAGACATTTACAGGGCTAAAGTAGTTAAAAGCCTGAAAACACTCTTAAAAGAACACTTTTGAATCCAGCAACAGTAAATTACCTATAAAAACATTTCTAGTATCTTAATACGGTTATCAAACAGAAAACAGATTTTTATAATCAGTTGCTTCATTATTTAAATGGTTGACTAAAAGGTACCTACATTTACAATTAAAATACTAGGTTAAGCGATATAATCTGTAGATAACACTCCAACTACTTGTAAGAACACTGAAGTTGTATTTTTATAATTACTAGCAAATTTTTATAATTACTAGCAAATGATTTTCAGGTTCATACACATCTATGGTAGTAAACTATGGTTTCTTAGCTACGTTTGTTAACTCATTTCTGCTCTATCAACTGGCCTATTACAAATAAAAGCAAAGTTCGTATATAAAAAAATGATTCATCGTCTTTTCAAGAGAGGGAGGAGAGTAAAGGGAATCATGTATCCAGCAAGAAGTTTTTGGCAGTGACTGAATATGATCTGCTGGAAGAGACAGCTGCGTCTGACAGTGCAGACAGTAATATGAAAAACAACCCAGGCTAAAGATGTTTAAAGACAAGATGGAAAGGTCTGGGCCTTTTATTTGTTCTTCAACATATTTTTAAATGTGACTTTTTGCTTACCCCTAACGGCTAATTTAAAGGTTGAGGGGCATTAAATTCTACAGATGAGTCACTCCCAGTAAGAAACAGGCACCATCCTACTACTCTCCTGTAGCAGTTTCATTTCAAACTGGGGATTTTGGCCTACAAATTTTAAAGCTATGTTCTAGGTAAAAGAAAAATTGGACAACTTTTATTCCATTACTAAAAACCCTAAAGCACTGTCACAAATGTGTTAGCATAGTCAAACAAATACTTGCTGCACAGAGCTGTCTCAACCAGAGTTTATTTGAAACACTTGTGTACACAGGGGACAAATATTTTCTTTCATCTAGAGAAAGAGACAAGTGATCTAACTAGAATAGCTGAAAAAGCAAACAAATGCACTTACTATCAAACGTCAGCACCAGCTTCCCTATATACATGCTACATTATGGGGACAAGCACAGTACTTCAATGGAAAGCAGGCAATTCAAAAGAACTAATGCCTTGTGGCGAACACAGGAGCTATGCTTGAAGAAGAGAGGTGACAAGTGATAGCACTTGGTTTACTAGAGGGTTAGCAGAAATGGACAGAAGAGTGATGATGTTCCTGATTCAACTTAAACAACATAGAAGAAAACATGGTCTCTATTTTCAAAAGTTTACTTTGCCTTTTAATTAATGACATCTGGATGAACTTTGACTGATAGGAAGCTTAGAAGTAAAAAACACTTAGAGCAATGTTTCTATCTAAAGCCATATATATATATACACTTGAACAATCAGTGCAGTATTCAAGTGCCTTATTTCCATTCTTTCTCACTCAGTTCTTCCATTTTTTGAGTGCCAATGCCACAAAACCATGTTCATGTACAGGAAGAGCTCCACATTTTTGTTTCCAACATAGTGCTTTAGAATAAGCTGGCTGCCTCTTGAGGACTCTCATTTGAATAACATTTGCACAGGGTCTATCCCTGATCCTACTCTACCCTTCCTCCTTCCAAACCTCTTCTATTCCCTAAAAGGCAAACAAGTCATGGAAGGTTAGGTGATAGAGCCAAGTCACAACAGTTCATTTTATCAGTCCAGTCTAAGTCACTCCAGAGTAGCATCACAGAAAAGCCAATAAAGTCGTAACTTCTTGTTTTCTACCAAGGTGAATTTTGCCACGCACAAGTCAGCCGGACTGAAGAACATCATAAATGCTTTTGCCCTTTCCCTAGTAAAAATACTTGTTTCCTAGCCAGAATCTGTTTTGAAGCCTTAAACACTACTTTACAAAACTAAGTTTACAACATTGGTCCTAAACTCCCCATTTCTACGGAAGCAAGTGACATGAACACTATTGTTCCCCTTAAATGGTCAAAACTCCAAATTTTCCTCTAACAGTCTGTAAAATAAAATTATTTGCACTAAGTTATTCAATTTCTTTTTAAAATAGCAAAATATTCCAGAAGTACAACAGCATATTGCATGCAACACTGAGGTGGAGATTTATACAACTGTTTCTTCCAAGTAGACAGAAGAAGCTGCAAAGGAAGAAGACGAAAGGCCACTGTAAATATTTAAAACATTTTATTCATCCATCTCTAGGGCAGAAGGCACTTACTTTTATTCAAAGAGTTTTAAGCACAATTCTACTTACAAAACTTGTCAGCCATGATAAATAAAAAGGAATGAATACTGATCAGATGGCTTGAACATAAGATGCAGTTTGGCAGAGGTGGGCAGAATGAAGGAACTATAAAGTATTAAGTTAATTTTTGAAGAAAAGTTACAGCCCATGACACATGTGTACAGCTATTCTCTCAGTTTACAACAAAGAGTAGGAATATAACTAATTTTTTTCTCATGCTTTTGTGTCCAGCCATATCATAATTATGTACTCTTAGTCATTAATAGTGACGCTTAAAAAAAGCTAAATAAAGCATAAATGGATCCTCATCGTATGTCGTATAGGGTTTGCATGGCAAGGTTTTGATAGTAGGAGGGCTACAAGGGTGGCTTCTACGAGAAGCTGCTAGAAGCTTCCCCTGTGTCTGACAGAGCCAATACCAGCCAGCTCCAAGACTGACCCGCTGCTGGCCAAGGCCAAGCCCATCAGCGATGGTGGTAACACCTCTGGGATAACATAGTTAAAAAGGGGAAAAAACAACCTGCACAACATCAAGAACAATTGCAGCCAGAGAGAAGAGTGAGAATATATGAGAGGAACAACTCTGCAGACGCCAAAGTCAGTGAGGAAGGAGGGGGAGGAGGTGCTCTAAGCACTGCAGCAGAGATTCCCCTGAAGCCCATGGAGAAGATCATGGTGAGGCAGGCTGTCCCCCTGCAGCCCATGGAGGTCCACAGTGGAGCAGATATCCACCTGCAGCCCATGGAGGACCCCATGACAGAGCAGGTAGATGCCCCTGAAGGAGGCTATGACCCCGTGGGAAGCCTGTGCTGGAGTAAGCTCCTGGCAGGACCTGTGGCCCCGTGGAGAGAGGAGCCCATGCTGCAGCAGGTTTGCTGACAGGACTTGTGACCCCATGGAAGGGACCCACGCTGGAGCAGTTGGTGAAGAACTGCAGCTTGTGGGAAGGACTCACGTTGGAGAAGTTCGTGAGGACTGTCTCCCGTGAGAGAGACCTCACACTGGAGCAGGGGAAGAGTGTGAGGGGTCCTCCCCCTGAGGAGGAAGGAGTGGCAAAGACAATGTGTGATCAACTGACCACAACCCCTGTTCCTCTACCCCTGTGCTGCTGGCAGGAAGGAGGTAGAGAAATCGGGAGTGAAGTTGAGCCCAGGAAGAAGGGAGGGGTGGGGGGAGGTGTTTTAAGATTTGATTTTATTTCTCATTATCCTACTCTGATTTGATTGGTAATAAATTAAATTAATTCCCCCGAGTCAAGTCTGTTTTGCCCATGACAGTAATTGATGAATGATCTCCCTGTCCTTATCTCAACGCATGAGCATCGCGTTATATTTTCTCTCCCCTGTCCAGCTGAAGAGGGGAGTCATAGAGCAGCTTTGGTGAGCATCTGGCCTCCAGCCAGGGTCAACCCACCACATATGTTTATAATTTTCAGTGACCAAAGACCATTCCATCATTGGCTGGAAACTGTAGCATTAACAACTGAAACAGCTGGTCTGAACAGTGTAATTGCTAACTACAGCCAGTTCTTAAGAAAACTACCAGATGAACATGACACTATTAGTGAAGGAAATGAAAGAATATGAACAGCAGCAAGCATGAAACTTCTATGAAGTAATAAAGGAAAAACAAAAAAGTTTCTTCTCAATTGAAAATAACTCCCTCTGCCCTAGTCCTTTTCTCCAAATCTGTTATCAGTGCTCTAGTATCTCCTTTCAAAGCAAAATTCTCAATCCCATCAAGGCCCAAGTGACATTATTCTCACTCCTCATCCCTTTCAAAGTGTTTCCAGAAAAAGAAAACCTCAAAGTATAAAAGTAAAAAATTAAAAGTCTCAGTTCCAATAATCATACGAAAGCTTTAAGTAGCAGCATGTATTTCTTTCCCTTCCAACTTTTTTTTTTTTTCAACCTTATGTCCTGGTTTTGGCAAGGATAGAGTTAATTTTCTTCCTAGCAGCTGGTAGAGTGCTGTGTTTTGGATTTAGGAAGAGCATAATGTCGGTAACACACTGATGTTTTAGTTGTTGCCAAGCAGTCAAGGACTTTTCACAGCTTCTATTACTGCCCTGCCAATGAGAAGGTGGGGGGTGCCCAAGAAGCTGGGAGGGGACACAGCCAGAGCAGCTGACCCCGAATGATCAAAGGCATGTTCCATAACATATGACATCATGTTCCAGATATAACTGGGGGTTGGCCAGGAGGTGGGGCAGCTCAGGGTTTTGTGGAGTATCGACTTCAGATGGTAAGAAATTGTGCTGCTCATCACTTGCTTTGTATATTCTATTGTTACTATTCTCTCCCTTTTCTGTCCTATTAAACTGTCTTTATCTCACACCAGACGTTTTCTCACTTTTACCTTTGCAATTCTCTTCCCAGTTCCATTGTAGGGGACTGAGCAAGTAACTATGTAAGGCTCACAACAGTCAATCAGTTTAGATTTCAATTTGACTAGTAAACGCAAGAGGGAAAAGGAGACAAAACACACTGCATAAACAGGATGGAAGTTATTTCCATATGAAATGCTACAAAAATCAAAAAGGTTTTGTTGACCTTTCAGTACCAATTTAACCATACAGAAGCATCAATTTTCAGAGCAAAACCTGAATATGCACTTAGACAAATCCATGGTTAAGAGACTGGTTCAATCCCTAACCTATGAAATTCAAATCAGTTACTCATTCCAGGTCCAGAGCACACAGATCAAAAGTGCCAGGAATCAATATCTGTCTTGAAAAGACTCATAACAGAGTGATAAACTCCCAACAAGAGGTCTATACTGGCAATTTTTCCACTGAAATTATTCCTATCAGCTTTACAAAAAATCAAAAGACAGAAGTAAACCAGGGGTCACTATACTGGAACACAGTACTTACTGTATTTACAAATAGACAGCAAGAAAATCATATGCCAGACAATATGATTAAAGTACAAAATCTGCTACCACAGGATATTATAATCAGTTAAAGATTAGAAGAGGAATGCTGAAGAGATATAGGTGTATGAGAATATATACATGAAAAGAAGTGAGGGTGAGTACCATCAACCTTCTTGTTCAGGCTGCCAGCTAAAGCACAAGTTCCTATTGGGAAGATTATTTACTGTCAAGGAAATTAAGCTTTTTTTTTTTTCTTTTCCAAATTTCAAAGTTTTTCTTTTGTAACTATCTGAAGTGCTTTGGCAATTTAACTGAATTATAAACAAATACATTCATCACTTCATCTTATACTAAAACACAGTCATGTGCAAGAGTTAAGTACCTCAACTAATTAATACTCAACAACTTAAGTCAGACAAAGTCATACACTCTATAAATTAAAAGCTACATAACTATTCACCTACAGTGGATTTTTTTTTCTTCTGGAATAGCTGTCTTGAATGAAGCAGACAAAAACTTAATCTCAGGATTAGGAACCTTGAAGTGACAGGGAAATGTGTGCTAATAAATATATAAGTGTAATTATTTCTAAAGATTTCTTCCTGTATCTCTACAGACATTACTGACAGCAAAGCAAAATTTCTCTTGTGCATATTGTAGAAGAGGCTACAGAATGCAGGACTGCACAGAGTAGCGATGCTGCAGACTTCTGTGTGTGTACAGCTAGAACAGTGCAGGGGTTAATCAAAAATATTCCCTGAAAGGTACAGAAAGAAGCAATTCAATAAAGCAAGCAGCTTTTTCATGGAAATCTGGTACTGTTCTATATTCTTCCCTTAACCTCTACATTCACATGCACAACATATGGGGACAGCATGAAAAAAGTAGAAGGGAGGAATGTATGAGGCTGTGCACACAAAGGCAGTGCATAATTCCAGGAAAAACCATCAAAAAACCCAACATGCAAGACAAAAATCTGCTCTGCTCTTACCTTGCTGTCAAAAAGATCAGTCCATTTTGTTGTTTCCCAGAACGTCTCTGTCAAAGCTTCTGAGAAGGTCTCATGATCCTCATCTTTGCCTTCTGCATCACTGGAAGCAGCCCCTTCTTGGGCCTGCAGATGAAGAAGTTGGTCAGCCAGTGCACTTCCTTTTCGACAAAGTGCATCCACCAAAGTAGTCTTCTGTTTTTCCATTTCACTAGGGAAAAAAAAAAAAACAAAAAACAGCATGAAAAACATTAAAGGACTTTTTGCAGATACCTCATTAAGAACAGAATCAGTGCTGTACTGAGTTTAAACTAGGAAGTTTATAACAGTACACACAAGATGAAAATAGCACAAAGATAACTTTAAAAGCTTGGCTATTTACTGCCATTTAAACCAAATGTAAAAAATTACCTAGAGACACTATGCATTAAACAAGCTCAATCATTCTTCTAAGACCTCAAAGACATTTCAGACTTAAGACAAGAGCAACTCAGGATTCTAAAACTGAATAAGCCCGCATCTAGAAATACAGCTTTGTAGTTCTTGGCATTACAAACAGAGAGTCAAATCCACGACTAACATAAGCAGATACAATTCTGCTGACTTCAAAGGAACTGCACCCATTTAAAGCACCACTGAATTTGGTGTTCAATTTCAGATGTTACATTCAACCACATGACCTAATAGGTCAACTTACCAAGAAATGTTTAGAATTAAAGTTTATTACATCATAGCTTTGCTTTTATATCAGCAATTCTAGAATTATACACAAATATTCAGGATAGCTAGACAGACAGACAAATTTTATAATTGAAATCTGGTATTTTAGACAAAATAATCAACAAATATACATCTCCCATTTTAAGGGCCTAATTTTCGGAACTGTTGCTGTATTTGTGACTAAAACAGCACCACACCACACACTGCAAGATCCACCAGTTATTCTCCTCCAGACTAGGGCATCACCTTTAAAATACTATCTTCCTAAGGATATATACTAGTAATTCTGAGGAACAATCTAAAACTAAAGAGAAAAAAAAAAAGGGCCTCAAAAATACTCTGAAGCACAAGTATGATCACCACGCTTTTCACAAAAGAAATCTTTTGCACGCAGTTACTACTTAGACTGCTGTCAATTTTGTCTTCAAATACAGATCCAAAAGGTTGCAAAGTATTATGAAAAGGCAGGTAGCATTCAAAACACATGCCTCTATATCGATATTCCAGTGGTGCCTCTGATCTGAGATTAAGCTCGATACAAAAACTTAATACTCTGTTTTTCTGACACATTTGAATCCTGAAAGCTCCCTTGTTTATTTTATTTAATATTTCAAATTAAAAACTTGCAGGTTTCAGTGTTCCTGCATTCTGGAGATATAATAAGAGAACAAAATTTTTCAGTCAAATTTGAAATTACTCGTGCCCCAAAAAGTAATACAATTTATTCAAAAAGGTTATAGTCATTCCAATTCTTATAAGCAGAGACGATAGATTACAGAAATAGGATGCAAGAAAATTATTTACTGGGTAGGTACTTTTTTATAGTAGTTGCATCAGGCCTGGGATCAGTCTTCATAGCAAAATATACTGCTAATGCTGTCTGATCAATATGAGAGATTACAGTATTTGCAGCTTCAACAATTTCATCAAGTCTTTTCATTCGTTCCTAAAAGAAGAATAAAAAAAGGTGTTTAGCACTATGAAATCACACTACTTGACTGTTGATTCTACTAACACTAGGATAATTGCAAAGGTATGCAGAAATAACATTAGATAATTCAACATGTCCTTTTCTCCACTTTCTCCCATTTTTGATTCAAGAAAACTGGTAAGAAGTCTGCATTATTAAGATTTCTCGCATATGTAGTCCATTTCACTGAAAACAAACTGTAAAATGATGTGGGCATACGCAAAATGCAGAGTTTACAGAAAGAAAAACACCTTTCAGTACAAATTAATCCTCTTAAATAATGGTAGCAGTTATTCATTTCAGAAATAAATATAAATTCAGAATCAAATAAACAGAAAAATATTCAAGTTGCTGACATATACACAAAGCTGTTTATCTTAGAGATAAATAAAAAAGCAGACATATGTAAGCTTTTCTGATTATGGTTCTCATATTTGAGGACAGTAACAGATGGTGGATTTAGCTGTGTCATTTCAAGGGTGTACTGTCCTCAGCCGTCTGAGCAACTTTGCTAGAAGAAATTACAAATCCAGTAGAGGAGCAGAATGGGATGTGTACTTGTCTCATTAACAACCATTTAGAATAATACTGTTGTAGCCTAAACCAGTAAGGAAACTTAGAATGTGTTTAACTTAACAAGGAGTAAATGATAAGCAAACATACTATAAGTAGGCATACTTTCTTTCATTCTGCTGTGGGATTAAGTAAATCAGTGCCAGTTGGGGAGGCAGATGGCAATCTAATAAGGAATTTCTGCTTTATAGAACTGAGTACAGCTATGGCAGTCGCTTCAAGACCAAACATGTACGAAGAAAGATTTGGTTCTTTAGGCTACATGATGTATTAAGACCAATCAAGTTCAGAAAGTGTTAAATAACCTTTTCAGAATCCAGCTGATGAAGTCTTGCAACGTACAATGGAAGATGATTAGGAAATGCTTCTTTCAACTCATTATACAAGTCAGTGGTATCCAGCCTAGAAGAGAGGAGGATATAGCATGAAAGTACAGATTCTGGATCTTTTTTTGTACAGCTGCTTCAAACTTGTGTAGTCATGACAGCAGACATACTTGGTCATCCATTGTATTTTTAGATCTCTTAAAGCTTCAGCAAATTCTTCTTTTACATCTTTTTCTTTTTCCTGTTCTCTTTCTTTCTCTTTGCTGCCATTTTTACTCTTTGATGGTGATGGTATCAGATGATAGTGAACAGTAAGGACATCCTGGAGGCGGGAAGAGAGACACATACTGAGAAGGATACAGTACACTTTTTTTCTGATACTATTATATGAAAAGCTAAATCATAGCAAGCCACTACTCTGAGCTACGCATACATAGAGTAAGGATTCTGAGAGCAAAAGTATTAGTCATTAAGAATTCAGGAACTGCTTTAAGTTTTTATTTTAAGCAATGCAAGGATGTAAAAATTAAAACAGCACACTGGGTGTAAGACAAGAAAGCCTAAAATTTAGCAAGTTTGACATTTTTTTATTCATATAATTTTACACAGTACTAGTTAGGGAATCAGAAGGGTGGAGGTTTTTTGTTTGCTTATAAAGAAGCAAATAACCTCGTTAAAAGGCAAAGGAAAAGATCAGTTAGAGATCCTATCCTACAAATCCAGCAATAAACAAATGAATAAAGACGACCAAATTCTAAAAAATACCACAGTAGCAAAACCATGAATTATGCCATAGGATACACAAGTTTATTCCTCCTGAAACAATATTTCTTCCATGTGCCTACTGAATTAGCCGATGCATCCACAGTCAACTGTTTTCTAGATTGCTGCTACAGACTTTCCAGTTTCACCTGTATCTGCGCTCAAACTAAGCAGACACAACAACAAGATTTTTTTAAAACCCTATCATAGAAACATCACTACAGTTTGAGTTCATGCTACATTAGACAACAATTACCATAAGAAAATCAGCTACAGCTATTTAAAAGGAAAATCCTAACTGATCTTAGGCTGTGCTCTGAGGTTCGTTTCCTGAGATGATTTACATATAAGTTTGCAAATAAGCCAGCATAAGATTTCAGTCATTGCTTCTAAAACATTATAATTGCTGGGGGAAGCTGTTTTGTTGGTTTTGGTTTTAATGTTACAATTTTTAAAAAAAGTCTCTTCCCAAACAGTGAGGGCATGTCACATTATTTCACACATAGGATATTTTGCAGAGAAGATCACTTAAGTTTAAATCCTCTAAACACCATTACTCTGTTGCAACATTGTACAAAATATTGTGTTGCATGCTTAATTGCTGTGGCAATTTAATTATTCATACCAATTATTCCAAAATACATTTGTGGGAGTAAGTTTCCCATAAACCAGGTCAGTGTTGCATAATGAAATGTTGTGCACAAGATGGAGTTATTTCAGGTTACTTAAATAGCGACTAAAAAGGCGACCGTTAGAAACGGCTAAGCATAACCTAAACATAATGGACTTCAACACTACACTTCTGAAATCATTCAAGAACACTGATGTAGAACAGTCTTATTTGAACTGATAGTTCAAACAGACCAGCAACTTGCTATGGGTTACTGAAAACAACACTGGTAAAAGAAAGCGACATCAATATTCCCTTAAAACTTAATATGTTATCACAGATGAACCACAAAATTAACACTTTTTTTTTAAACCTAGTTTAGATCACTAAACTACATTAAAGTGTAGCTTTCACAGGAACTATTCTGCACACATGCATTTCAAGTATGAAGTGCATGACCAGGCAGTACACCTAAGTAAGACTTCTGTAAGACCTAGGCCAGAGCATGACAAAACAGGCCATGGAAGCAAGCACATGTAGTGGAGGATACAGAAGTCAGGAACATGGTATGGGGCTGGCAAAGGTAATTAGAACCGTAGAAAGCAACAAAGTACTTCATTAAAGCAAACCAAACATTCTAAGATGCCTCAGAAGTTAGTTCAGTACTAAAACCTGAATCAGTAGTTCACAGTGTTCTTTTTTAAAATACATCCTCTATTGAGACTAATACTTTCTTAAGAAACCTGTCTTTCTTGAAATATTCTTCTAATATTTCAGGATTTCCTTCCTGAAAGTCCTCTTTGATCTTACTTGGCAACATATATTTGGAGTTATGTATCTAAATGGCCTTGGCATTCTCAAGCCTTGTCTATACGAGAAGACTCTACTACTCCGGTTTAAGTTTCAAACCAAGAGTAATTAGATTAACAAATTCCCACTCATGTGGATGAACACTTTCATTTAAGAGACTAATTCTATGTAGCTAAACCATCAACGGTAAAATGCTACCATTCTCTCAGGTAGGTAGTTCTGGTCTCATGAGATTCTGCAAGGATCACAAGCTATGGCCACTGAAAGGAGCTTCAGACGTAGGTACCTTCCTTTTTTAAAAGAGCTTATAGAGAGGCGCACTCTTCTCTACAGACATCAGACTTATTTCATAGGATAAATAAGGTTTAGGTGCTTATCGCATTTAACTCAACTATCACAAGACCATAAGATGGACTGAAGGCTTCTTTCTTTTCTCAAGTCTGGGTGTAAACAGCAGCATTATTTGTAAAGCTTGGCAACCCCCTAGATACCAGAAGATCCCAGAATGACACTATCATTGCCATTACAGAAAGATTCATCATTACAGATTAAAGAGAGGAAAGGCAACTGTTCACAATTCAGTGCTTTAATCTGTTTTCTTATTCAAATTTCACTCTAATTATTCCATAGATTTGATTTAATATATAGCTATAAAAAGATATAGAGCTACAGATAGAGAAAGGCAGCAAGCAAGCACATTATCCACTGAAAAAATGACTTTAAGGAAACTTTCAAATTAGTGAGAAAGCTGCTCTTTGTTTATCTTCTAAAAAAATTAAGCAATATTAAAAACTTTGGAAGCATATAGGATACACACTTTGGTAAGTGTACTCCGCAGTTTGATAAGCCTCAGTGAGTTTACTTTTGACTAGAACTACAAACTGCATACATCAACAAGCATAATACTCTCTGAACAGTCACCTCTTAAAAGAGCTTAATTAACAGTTAATTTTGTTTAAAGATTTAAATTTAGATTTTTCTCTGATGATTCAACATCTGGTATTTTATGTGGAAAAGACATATGAACTACTGTTATTTGTATTTTAAAGCATTCCACAGCCATCCTATTTTTGAAGGCCTTCTGATTAAACAGGGATAGTGTCTTAATGCTCAAGGGAAGTAATTCTTTTACATGTGACTTCACAATGGTATTTATTAGTCTTCTACTAGTACTTATCAGTATCTGCATAATGCATTTCTTGCTTCAAACTGGAGGAAAGAATGGCAGAGTAGGGAGAAAGATGTAGAAATTTTCTATCCCTTAGCTAGTTGTTACATATCGCTGTTCAAAGCTGCATTATGTAAAAGAACAAAAAAATGCTTCTTACAGACCAGCAAAAGTCAACAATCTGTTTTCATTCTGTGGCCAGGACAAAACTTGGAGACAAGGGAAAGAAAAATAAGTCAGATTGTAACTGCATTACAAAAGTTAGGCTGGGAAAGAAGAAAGGTGCATAGAACCAATTTGGTTTTCACACGGTTGTTTAGCACGTGCCTCTCCATTAGAGACCAAGCGCACTTCTAAGGGTACATCAGCTTCCCAAGTCACGGCGGTAGGACAGTCTCTACATCCATGGGGATCAATTCCAACAAAAATCATCACTGAATTCTGAACTTCATATATATCACAGGTTCAGTAGTCAGAAAGGATTTTTTTTTTCCTTAAGTCCAGACACACTGAAGACAGGAAGACATTAAGTAAAAACCCATACCCAAGGGTTGTTCTGGGTTTTGTTTCAGGTTTGGGTTTTTTTTAGATAAAGTTAAGTTCCCCAGAGTAGCTCTACGAGTAGAAAATTATGGATTAGGCATATGATTCTGTTGTATGTGTCTAGTAAAACAAAGACACCTGCTTATTCTGTGGAAAGAACCCATTGACTTTTTTATCCAGTTGCCCAGAGGGGCTCATCAGAAGCACACAGCTGGAGGCCAACAACTAGCAGTGTACTCCAGGGATCAATACTGGATCCGATCTTGTTCAATGTCTTCATTAGTGATCTGGATGATGGGGCAGAGTGCACTCTCAGCAAGTTTGAAGATGCCACCAGACTGGGAGGAATGGCTGACACAAGGTGCCATCCAGAGGGACCTTAACAGCCTGCAGAAATGGGCTGTCAGGAACCTCATGAAGTTCAACAAGGAGAACTGCTAAGTCTTGCACCTGGAGAAGAATAAACCCAGGCACCGGTACATGCTTGGGGCCACCCAGCTGGAAAGCAGCTTGGCAGGAAAGGACCTGGGGTTCCTGGTGGAAACCAGCTTGAATGTAAGCCAGAAACGTGCCCTTGCGGCAAAGAGGGTTAACTGTGTCCTGGGCTGCATTAGACATACTACCAGCAGGACAAGGAAGGTGATCCTTCTCTACTCTGCACTGGTGAGGTCACACCTGGAGTACTGTGTCCAGTTCTGGGCTCCCCACTACGAGAGAGACATGGACATACTGGAGAGAGTCCAGTGAAGGTCCACGAAGATGATGGACTGGAGCATGTCTCCTATGAGGAAAGGTTAAGAAAGCTGGGACTGTTCAGCCTAGATAAGAGAAGGCATTTGGGGGGTGGAAGGGGAGGAGGAATCTCATCAATTTGTGTAAATACATGTAGGGAGGGTGTAAAGAGAAATCCAGACTCTTTTCAGTGGTGCACAGTGACAGGACAAGAGGCAATGGCCACAAACAGAAACACAGGAGGTTCCCTCTGGACATCAAGAAATACTTCATCACAGTGGGAGTGACTGAACACTGGGTACAGGTTGCCCAGACAGGTTGTATAGTCTCGCACCCTCGGAGATACTCAAAAGCTGTTTGGGCATGGTCCTGGGAAACTAGCTCCAGGAGGCCCTGCTCCAGCAGGGAGGTTAGAACAGATGACCCTCAGAGGTCCCTTCCAGCCTCAGCCATTCTGTGAAAACAAAAGTACTTTCAAACAACCAGAAATGCCCACCCTGGATTTCTGGCAGTGTCATGCACATAGGTGCAATCTAACAAATTCCCTCCCTCCTCAACTAAAATAAAATTAAAAAAAAAAATAAAAAAT